GGTACCTGCTAATTTTGTACCTACTAATTTGGTACCTATTAATTTAGTACCTGCTACTATTTTAAGTAGCTACTAATTTAATGCCTATACAATTTTAGGTGTTTAAAATTTTTGGCCCCTACTATTTTAGGTACATACTAATTTGAAACCTACTATTTTAGGTATTTAATATTGTTAGAACGTACTAATTTTGGTACCTTTACTACTTTGGTACCTGCTAATTTTCTACCTACTATATTGGTACTTATTAATTTAGTACCTACTATTTTTGGTACCTCTCCTATATGTTTGATACCTACATATTTTTGGCACCAACTATATGGTTTTTATACGTTCCCCTTTGTGGCACTATTGTCGCTACCTATTATTGTTGGCACCTCTACTATTTTTAGTACCTACTTTTTTTGATATTACAGAAAAAATTTATATTTGCTAACACTATTTATATATTATTGAAATAAAACTCAAATATTTCAAATGAAAAAAAAAAAATGAAATTGATGAAATATATATAATATATATAATATAAAGAAGTGTATTGATGAGAGGAAAAATAAAGTTGAGAAAATATTGTTATCCGTCGCTATGAGAATCGACTCGAGCTGCCGACGGTAGATGATTAATACCTTTTTGTCTTGGGCAAGTTGTATATATATATATATAAAGACACCGACATATTGTCTTTAAGCTGTCATGAAAAGAAGGGATTTTTTTTTTTTTTAATTCTAAAAATTGATTAATAATCATAAAAAATTCTTTGGATAATATATCCAATTTACAGAATATAATAATAATAATAATTTAAAAACCCACGTGAAAAGATTACCGGTAAACTCCGCGGAATTTCCGCAGAGCAGCTCCGCGGATTTTCCGCGAAATTTCCGCAAATTTTTTTTTTGCATAATATTATATTTATGTTATTATTTAAAATAATATAAAATTAAATTGTGTATATTCTACTTAAAATTACTTTTTAATTTTTAGTTAACAAGTGAGAGAAGAATTTGACACTAATTTTGTTAACAAAAAATTGAAAACTATAAAAATAGGTTCACGGTTATAGCCGGTAAAGATGTATGTATTTTTCTTTTCTACTTAAAAAAGTAATCCCAAAATTGATATCAGATTATTGCATTAAAGAGAGTTAAATATATAATAGATTAAATAGTTTTTTACTTGTATTTATCCTTTTTATAAGACAATAATAAAATTCATTTCATATAAAAATTTTATTAATAAAAAAATAAAAATGCATTTGCCATATGATACTGATTTCTATTTATTTAATAAAATTTATTTCACTCATTATATATTTTAATTTTTAGTAGGGTTAAATTAGGTTACAATTAAAACTTTCAGAAAATAACTTTATAATCTAAATACAGGTTATAAGCTCTTAAAAAGGTTTGGAAAAAGAAATGATTTCCCGGTCATTACCGTTACTTATTAATGGCTTCGTAATATGAAAATTTTATACGACATGTTTAACTTCCCCAAAAAATTGTATTCTTGCTGCTGCCTAGTTCTTGAGTGACATCGATTTGTTATTCTTCTAATGCTTCGTATTTTCATAATGTCTTGAAATGTTAAAATCCTTAAAAAATCCTTACCGATTGTAACCACGAAACTATCCTAAAGGTTATCAATATTTTTTTTCAAAAAATTGACGTGTCTAACAGTAAATCTTGTCTCAGTTGTTAACTAAAGTATAAAACGTAATTTAAATAGAATGTATTGAATTTAATATTATAATACTTTAAATAATAACATAAATATATTATTATGCAAAAAAAAAAAAAATTGCGGAAATTTCGCGGAAAATCCGCGAAGCTGCTCTGCGGAAATTCCGCGGAGCTACTTCGCGGAGTTTACCGGTAATCTTTTCACGTGGGTTAAAAAGTATAATGCTTACAAATATTAATGGAAAACAATTTAAGATAAATGTATATAAAATTAGTAGTAAACGTAAAAAATATTATAATATTAATTATTTTTATTATTATTATTATTATTATTATTATTATTATTATTATTATTATTATTATTATTATTATTGTAAATTGAAATTCGTAATAATGATGACTATATGGATATATAGATATAAAAATATTTGTAAAAGGTCAATCCGTCGGCTCCGATATAGTCTGAACAGAAAACCTGTTATTTCGTCTCGGTTCCATTTTTGCTATATATCTTAATCAATCAATTAGAAAATTAGAATAATTTTAATTTTTTTTAAATAAGCGTTTCCTTTTTTTTTTTTTTTTTTTTTGTTTATTTTATTATTTACAACAAAAAAATTTTGATTTTTATTGTAAATGTTTACTATAGTAACAAAATTTTTTTTTCAATTTTTTGAGGTTAATACTAGTTCATATATAATATTTACCCTAAATTTTTGTTTTGATTTTTGGGATAAATGTTTACTATTTTTTTTTTTCTTTTTTTTTTTTTTCTTTTTTGTGATAAATATTTACTATATAGTTCATATTTACCCCAAATTTTATTATATTTTTTTTTTTTTTTAATTTTTAGATTAAATGTTTATTAACTTTTTTAATTGTATTTTAAAACTTGTTTTTGTAGTAAGGGGAAAGGTGCGGAAAAAAAGAGGACTGGGTGGGGGGGGGGTGGAGAAAGAAGACTACGCCCTTGCATTTTAAATATAGCTTGTTTTATGCGACCTAAAATGAACCCGAAAAAATCAGCAAAGGGCTTTCTTAATGGAGTCGTAACTTCTGAGAGGTATCGTCGTCATCAACGATCATTTATATATATATATAACTCCATATATATACATATATTCAAGGACCCAGTAGCTTTTTTTTTATTTATGAATTAAGAAGTAGGCTCACTTTTTAAGGGGGGTTTTTTTTTCTTCATCTTCAAAAACCACTCACACAAAGAGTTTTTTTCAAAAAAAAAGAAAAAAAAAATTTTTTTTAAACTGTTTTTATTATTACTATGGGGTAAATATAAACAATTTAACATTTACACCAAAAATAGGGGGGAAAAAATGGGGTAAAATGAACAAGTTAAGATTTACTCGAAAAATAAATAAAAAAAATAGGATAAATATAAACTAGTAAATATTTACTCGAAAACTAACAAAAAAAAAAAAAAAACAAATATCGTTCATATTTACCCCAAAAGTTTTTTTTTTTGAATTTTGGGGTAAATATAAACAATGTTTTTTTTTGTTAGTTTTCGGGTAAATGTTTACTAATTCATATATTTACCGAAATTTTTTTTTTATTTTTGGGGTAATTGTTAACTTGTTCATATTTACCCAAAAATTTTTTTTTTTAATTTGGGGTAAATATGAACAAGTTAACAATTAACCCAAAAATCAAAAAAAATTTGCGGTAAATATATGCGAATTAGTAAACATTTATCCGAATTGTTAACTTGTTCATATTTACCCCAAATTTTTTTGTTTTTTTTTTTAATTTGGGGTAAATATGAACAAGTTAAAAATTAACCCAAAAATAAAAAAAAATTTGCGGAAAATATGAACATTTACCCGAATTGTTAACTTGTTCATATTTACCCCAAATTTTTTTTTTTTTAATTTGGGGTAAATATGAACAAGTTAACAATTAACCCAAAAATAAAAAAAATTTTTTTGGTAAATATGAACTAGTAAACATTTACCCGAAAATTAACACAAAAAAAAACAAACAAACATTGTTTATATTTATCCTAAAATTCAAAAAAAAAAAAAAAAAAAAAAAATTTGTGGGGTAAATATAAACTAGTAAACATACTTACCCCAAAACTCAAAATTTTTCAATAATAAAAAAAATAATAAAAAATATTTATATAAATACAAAAAGTATATTTGAATAAAAAATTAATTTTCCGTTTTTTTTTCTGAAATAAAAGTCGAAATACTATATGTACATATATAATACTAATTTTTGGGCAAATAATTCATTATGTATATACATATATATAAGCTATTAGTTTCTTGATTATATTTATTTATTGTCTTTTGTCTTCTCTATGATTTGGGCACACTATTATTATTATTGTTATTATTATGTCTTTATTCCAAAAAAAAACAAGTTTTTTTTAAAAAAAAAAGGGATAATGACTAATTTATTTTTATTATTTTTTCGAGGATAATTTTTGCGGGGCATATAATACCATACCACTTTGGCATCGAGAGACAGTTATGACTCTTCCTTTCGTACTCTCATCATCAGTTGTTTTGTGGGCATTTCATTTTCGTTTTTTTTTTTTTTTTTTTTTGTTTTACACTCACATATATACTGAACTTAACTGAGTATAGAAAAGAAGAAGAAGCAGAAAAATAAAATCTGACAAAGGTTTGCACTCATCAAATGGTTTCTTCATTTCAGAGTTCAAATATAATTCATTTTTATCCTTATCGGATATATATATATACATAGTATTATTGGCGTTTTTAAAAATCAAAATTTTTGAAAATTGTAACTGTTTGGAAAATTTTTTTTTTATAAAAAGTCTTTGAACTTTTATAATCAGCTTGAAGAGTAAATTTAAAAACATATTATAATTAACCTCGAACTAATTACAACCAAGTAATATCAAAGTATTAATAATAATAATAATAATAATAATAATAATAATAATAATAATAATAATACCTAATAATGATAATAATAATAGTAATAATAATTTTCAAATTAAATTCCCGATGAAGAGAAGTGAGTGGGGGAATAACAGAAAGTGGTGGAGGAGGGAAAAAAAAAAAATTCCCGCAACACTGTTTCAAACTTTAACAAGCCCATTTCATCAAAAAAGGGGAAACAATTTCCGAAAAAAAATAAAAAAAAAAAAAAAAAAAAAAGAAAGAAAAGAGTAAAAGAAAAAAAAGAGTAAAGAATCTTCTCGTCTCGCTTGAAGATCCATAGGATTTCAGTGTATTAGATGGTAGATGCGGTGTATAAGGATGATGTGATATGGTGTGGGTTAAGAAAAGAGTGGTTAACCAAGGGGAAAAGGGAGGGGGGGGGTCAGGAAGGAAAGTAGAAGATAGTCTTTGGTTTGTCCGGCGATGCGCGGTTGACGTTTTGCTTCTGTTTCCAGGTCTCTCTCTCTCTCTCTCTCTCTCTCTCTCTCTCTCTCTCTCTCTCTCTCTCTCTCTCTCTCTCTCTCTCTCTCTCTCTCTCTCTCTCTCTCTCTCTCTCTCTCTCTCTCTCTCTCTTTCTTTCTTTCTTTCTCTCCCGCTCTAATATGGCTTCTCCTCTCTTTGCTCCATCTCCCCTCTCTTTTTTTGTATCCTTCTTCTGCTCTCAGTCTTTTCTATCCTTCTCCCTCCCTCTCCCCTCTCTTTCCTATTCCTTCTTCTTCTCTCTTTCCCTTTTTTCTATCCTTCTCACATCCTCTTTTTCTCTTTTCTATTTCTTCTTCTCTCTCTCATACCCTTTTCTTTTCTTCTTCCTGTCCTTGTGCTTCTCTCTCACTCTTTTCTATGCTTCTACCTTCTTTCTCCCTCTCTTTCCTATTCCTATTCTCTCTATTTTTCTCTCACTCTTTCCTATTCTTTATTCCCTTCCTCTTTTTTTACACTTCTTCTTTTCCTCTCTCATTCTTATTTATCCCTGCCCCCCCCCCTCTCTCTCTCTCTCTCTCTCTCTCTCTCTCTCTCTCTCTCTCTCTCTCTCTCTCTCTCTCTCTCTCTCTCTCTCTCTCTCTCTCTCTCTCTTCTCTCTCTCTCTCTCTCTCTCTCTCTCTCTCTCTCTCTCTCTCTCTCTCTCTCTCTCTCTCTCTCTCTCTTCTATATTCTTTTCTCCCTCTCTCTTTTATATACTTTTTTCCCTCCCTCCCTTTTTTTCTTTCTCCTTTCTCCATTATTCTCCCTCTTTATCTTCTATCCTTCTTTCCCACCTTCCCTCCCTTTCTTTTTCTATCTTTTCTATATCCTTATGTACTCCTTTTTTATCTCTCTTCTCTATCCTTCTCTATTTCTCTCTTCGCCAGTCTCCCTTTTTTTTCTTTTGTATATCCTTATCTATTCCTTTTTTTTATCTCTCTTCTCTATCCTTCTCTATTTCTCTCTTCGCCAGCCTCCCTTTATTTTTTTCTATTCTATATCCTTATCTATTCCTTTTTTTATCTCTCTTCTCTATCCTTTTCTATTTCTCTCTTCTCCACCCTCCCTTAATTTTTTTTTCTTTTCTATATCCATCTCTATATTCCCTTCTTTTTCTATTACTTCACTACCCTTCTCGATTTCCCTCTTCCTCTCTGTTTTCTCTATCCTTCTCCCTCCTTCCTCCTCTTAAGATTTCTCTCTCTCTCTCTCTCTCTCTCTCTCTCTCTCTCTCTCTCTCTCTCTCCTCTCTCTCTCTCTCTCTCTCTCTCTCTCTCTCTCTCTCTCTCTCTCTCTCTCTCTCTCTCTCTCTCTCTCTCTCTCTCTCTCTCTCTCTCTCTCTCTCTCTCTCTCTCTCTCTCTCTCTCTCTCTCTCTCTCTCTCTCTCTCTCTCTCTCTCTCTCTCTCTCTCTCTCTCTCTCTCTCTCTCTCTCTCTCTCTCTCTCTCTCTCTCTCTCTCTCTCTCTCTCTCTCTCTCTCTCTCTCTCTCTTTCTCTCTTTTCTATTCTTTTTCCTCTTCCTCCCTTTTTTCACTCTCGCTCTCTTCTCTATTCTTCTCCCTCTGTCCTCCTCTTCAGAGTTATTCCCCCCCCCTTTTTCTTATTTACCCTACTTTCTCTTTTCGTTATTTTTCTTCCTCTTTTTTCTCTATCCTTCTTTCCCTCTCTCCTTTTCTTTTTCTCTCTCCTCTTTAATCCTATCCCTCTCTCTTCTCTATCCTTATGTACCTTCTCTTTCTTTTCTCTATTTTTCACCCCTCCTCTCTCTCTCTCTCTGTCTCTCTCTCTCTGTTATTCTCATCTATCCCCCCTCTCTCTCTACTGTACTCTTTTCTATCCTTCTCTCTTATTTTTTTATTCTTTTCTCTCTTTTTTCTCTATTCTTCTCTCTCTTATTTCTCTATTTTTTTCTCCCTTATTTCTTTATAGTGTAAAAAGTAAATTAGAGAGAGAAAAAGTGAAAGTAACTTAATAAAGAGACAGAGACGGAATAAGAGAGATAAAAACAAAGAGAGTTAGAGAAACAGGCAGACAGACGGATGGACAGACATATAGACGTAGAGGGAGTGAGAACGTGGCATAGAGTGTGTGAGAGGGGGGGGGCGAGAACGTAGAAGAGAGAGAGGGGGGAAAGAGACACAGACAGAGAACGTGAGAGAGAGAGAGAGAGAGAGAGAGAGAGAGAGAGAGAGAGGCGGAGAATGAGTAAGAAATAGAAAAGTAAAAGGAGATATAAGGCCCCCCGATGATGTGAGAGAATGAGACTGGGTGTAGGTCAGAAGGAGAACAGAGTAAAAGCAAAAGAAGAAGTGAGGGTGTGGGGTGGGGTGGGAGAAGAGTTGATGGTAAAGTAAAGTGGGATGAGAAGGGAAACAGGACATAAAAGAAGCCGACGCTACACATACAGTAGCCAGACAGACTGTACCCAATTATTCCGGCGTGCTATACTAATGCCATGGACCCTCTTCTCTCTTCTCCCCCTCCCATTCTTGTCTCATAATGCCAATATAGTGTGTTTCTTTTTTTTTATTTCTTTCTCTCTCTCTCTCTCTCTCTCTCTTCTCTTTCTTTCTCTATCAAGTTTTGCCTTTTGGGTCCGACAGACCCAATCGACCAGTAAGCCTTCTTCACCCCCTTACCCCTTCCGCCTTTCATCAAATACACGCCGCGCCTCAAACTCAATTTTTGACGTTTTTGGAAGTCGATCGGCCCTTTGACGAAAGCAGAAGATACCGATGTCTGAATGCCAACAATCGAGCGGGAGATTTATTGAATTTTGAAGTTGTTGGTATTATAGTCATTTTTTTTATTTATTTCTCTCTCTCTCTCTCTCTCACAAGGGCCCGACATTGGAATTTTGCTACTGTTTCAAATTTGTTTTATTATTATTATCATTATTATTTAGTATAATTTAATTGAATATTTTTAGTTCCCAATTAAAAATTTTGATTTTATTTAACCACAATTTTGTTGTGTATTTTTATTATTATTATTATTTTTATTGTTTAAAGTCAAAAAAAAAAATTTTTTTTTGTGAGAAAAATTTTTTTTTAAAATGATATTTCTGTTTAGAATTAATAAATTAATAAAAAAAAAAGAAACAAAACATGAGTGTCAGTGTTGATATATATACTTATCACCAAATACACGTGTGACATTCAAAATAATAATTTATTTAATCAAAACTCCTTGTAAGATTTCGTGTATATCTTAATATATTTAAAAATGTTGTGATACACTCAAATGGAAATTTCATTCAACCAAATTGACCTTAGGGCGATAACATTCATATGATTATATATATATATATATGTGACTCTCGCGGTCTTTTGACAAAGTAGAGACAACGAAATTACTCTACTACAGATTTTTAGAAAGAGAACGAAGAATATTTTCATGGTCATATTACACGTGCATTTTTTTTCTAAATTTTACCCTGTATACGATTGTCAAATTTACCCCATACAATTGTCAAGTTTACCCCATACAATTGTCAAATTTACCCCATATAGTTGTCAATATTACCCCAAAAATAGAAATTTTTTTTTTAATTTTATCTTTATTGTTAAATTTATTTTGTTATTTTTATTTTTAATCTTGAAATTTTAAACTTAGTTTACAATTTTACCCCATGTATTTTAGTACAATTTTAACCCTGTATTGTCAATTTTATCTTTTATATAAGTACAATTTTACCCTATAGTTATTGTTTATTTTAAAATATATATATATATATATATATATATATATATATATATATATACTAAAAATTTTACGCCGTACTATTGTCAATTTTACCCCATAGCTAAATACAATTTTACCCCTTGTTACATTGTTAATTTTACCCTATGTTTAATTATAATAATATCCTGTATATTTTTGTCAATTTTATTCAATAGCTATAAGTATAATTTTACCCTTGTTATTATTAATTTTACCCCACAGATTAGTATAATTACAAATACCATATTATTATTGTTAATTTTACCCCATATATTTGAGAACAATTTTACCCTATATATATATTTGAGTACAATTTTACCCTATATTAATATAAATTTTAAACCACGCAACTATATATTAGTACAATTTTACTTCGTATACTTTTGTACGAATTTTACCCCATATTAAATTAAAAATTTTACCTAGTATTGTTAATTTTACCCCATACAGATTGGTATACAATTAGAAATAATTATTATTATTAATTTTATCCCATATTTAAATATACAATTTTACCCCATATTATCAATTTTATTACATATTAACAATTTTACCCCATATAGCTATAGGTATAATTTTACCCCATATTGTTATGTCAATTTTTTTACCCCGTGTGTGCAATTGTCAACTTTACCACGTATTGTTAATATTCCCTATAACTTTGCCCGAAACAGAAGATCATTTCACCCACCTGTCATTGTAAACTTTACCCCTTATTGTTATTATTTATCTGTCATATATACTATAAAACGAATTTTACTTTATACGTGTGTGTCATATTGTCGCAACTTTATCCCTTATTGTTAATATTTCCTCCTTAATATATACTAATAGAGAACATATTACTTTCTTAAAATTTTACAATTTTTTGCACTGAATCAGTGTTCACTTTTACCCCAGTGTCATGGTCAACTTTATCCCAAATCAATGTTCATTTTACCCCAAGTGCCATTGAACAACTTTACCTTGAATCTATGTTCACTTTAACCCTAGTGCCATTGGCCAACTTTACCCTAAATCTATGTTCATTTTACCCCAGTTCAACTTAACCCCAAATCTATGTTCATTTTACCCCAGTGCCATTGGACAACTTTACCCTGAATCTATGTTCATTTTACCCCAAATCTATGTACATTTTACCCCAGTTCAACTTTATCCCAAATTTATGTTCATTTTACTCCAGTAAAATTGGACAACTTTACCCTGAATCTATGTTCATTTTACCCCAAATCTATGTACATTTTACCCCAGTAAAATTGGACAACTTTACCCTGAATCTATGTTCATTTTACCCCAGTTCAACTTAACCCCAAATCTATGTTCATTTTACCCCAGTGCCATTGGGAAACTTTACCCTGAATCTATGTTCATTTTACCCCAGTTCAACTTTATCCCAAATTTATGTTCATTTTACTCCAGTAAAATTGGACAACTTTACCCTGAATCTATGTTCATTTTACCCCAAATCTATGTACATTTTACCCCAAATCTATGTTCATTTTACCCTAGTAAAATTGGACAACTTTACCCTGAATCTATGTTCATTTTACCCTAGTAAAATTGGACAACTTTACCCCATAATGCTTTTTTTCTGTGATTTAAAATTAAACTTTACCCTCTCTGTAACATAGTATTATTTTTTTATTTAGTTTAAAAAAATTTTATTTTTTTTCGAAAAAATTGAAATACCCCCCTCACCCCCCCAAAAAAAAACAAATTGCAATATTTTACACGACTTTTGACAAATTTTGGCAAAATAATTCTTTTCCCCCCTCTCCACCTTTAATCTTGCGTCAACCACTATATTCATCGTTCATGACATTCTTTATTGTATAAAAGAAAACTTGTCCCCTGTGTGAAGAACGATAAAATGACATTAGGTATTGTATTAATCAAGAAACTGTCAGTGTGATTCTCGACGTGTGGATGATATGTCGGATGTCGAGTCTTATATGCTTTAAGGGGTATGAGGGACACTATATATATATATATATATATGTATATAGTTTGTAAGGAACGAGATAGAAAAAGTGGGTGTGGGTATGAAACGGAAGCCAGGAAACCAGAAGAGAAGACACGACATGAATGTTGGGTCGGTGGAAAAATTGAGGGGGTTGGGGTAAAGAGGTAGGGAAGGGTGGGGGGGGTGAGGGTGGTTGTGGTAGTGGTTTCTGTGCGAATCTGCCGATGACGTCGAGAAATGACACAAAAAAATATGGCAGACAGTCTCGCCGGCTCCGGATTTTCCCTTCTACAAGTCAAATTCAAAAGATTCTCAAAGAGATAAGAAGAGAGAGAGAGAGAGAGAGAAAGAGAGGAATTCTCCTTTCAATGAAACTCCATTGAATTTTTTGACAATAATAAACAAAGATCACATTTTTTTTCGAAAATTCATATATAATTAACTTTTTTTTCTTTGCACCAAAGTACAAAAAGTTAGTTTTTAATTTAAAAAAAAAAAAATAGTAATTTTATTGTTCCATACTTACCCCAGTCAACTTTACCCCGTATTGTCATATATGCGGTAATGAGAATTTTAATTCCTACTTTACTCCGTATTATTGTCAATATTTTTTCTCCCCTTAATGAATTTAATTTTTTATATTAATTTTCCAATTTTTGTAGCCCCCCGAAACTAGATTCATTTTATCTTACGATGCCGCATTGTCAATTTTACCCCATATTGTTAATATTTTCTATATATAAAGTATAATAAATTTTACTTCATATATATATATATAATTGTATATAACTTTGCCATACGAATTAATATAATATATGTTCATTTTACTCTATATATATATATATAGTAATGTCCTACGGCCAAAATTACCCCAAATCTATGTTCATTTTACCCCAATCATAGTCAACTTTACCCCAGAATGTTGTTATTTTTCTGTCATTTTTTTCATTGAAAATTTCAACTAAAAACATTTTTTTTTTTTTGGAAAAATAATTTTTTTAATTTTTATTTATTTGTATCAGATATATTTATATATGTATATATATATATATATGTTCCACAACATGTTTTTGGGGACCTTTAATCTAGCCACTGGAAACGCCGGTCACCATCGATATATATATATATATATAATATACTTTTCTGTGGTCTCGTTCGAACCGCATCATCGGGAGCTGTTTCATGTTTATTGGTTGGTTGTTTCGACTCGATTATAATATACACTATGCGGGGCCTTAAATAGCTCACCTCCGCATGTTTTACAACACTCAAGTATTTCCAATATCCTGCGCGCACAGGGAGATTCGTCTCGGTAGCCTTTTTCACCACCACCACCACCACCCCCCCCCTCTGCCCCCCTTTCCTTACCAAGGCCCTATTTCCACTCTATATATAAGGCCTAATAATAATCAGAAAATCGACCCCCCCCCTCTCTATTTTTTTTTCCTTTTTTTTTTATTCGATTACTCTCTTTCCTTTGACCGTGGTCGACGTTCTCTCTTGAGAGTTCATTCATGCCTTCTATACTTGGTGGCGAGGACCTCATTACTTTCAGTGAATGGGACCTTACTGTCCCCTCTCTCACCCCCCTCCCGCCCCCTTCTTACCCCATTACTTTCAATCATCACGCCACAAAACTCACTGGATTCCTTAGATCTACCTCTTTGCCCCAATCACCCCCCCCCCCCTTTTTTTTCTAACATTATTATTTTTCTTCTATATTTTCTATTGTTAATCTTTTTCTCATTTTATACTTTTTTTATGACTATAATTTTTTTTTTTTTTTTTTTTTGAAAAAAACTGTAATATGGTCAGCCGGGGTAAATCCGAACGCTAATTATTTCAGCTTAATTAAAATTTTTAAAAATAAGTTCGATATGAGAATTTTTATCTCAGATCCTCTTCAAGAGATTCTAAGTATTATCCCATTTTTCGTTTGTTAATTAGCAATAGCATAAACAAAGATAACGAGTATTGCAAAAAAAAAAAAAAAGATTGAAAATCAAAGATGAAACTCTTTCAGTATTTTGTATCGTACACCCTAAAAAAAGTAATTTTCAATCTAGAGAATTCCTCTAAAATAAATGCATATTTTCCTCTTAATTTTGGTATCAAAATTATTATTCTTCATTTAAGAGGATTTTCCTTTTAAATTAAATATGTCGACATCCAAACCTCGTAAAATTGTTTTTAATGTCAAAGCCATCAATAAAATAATTATAATTTCAATCAAATAATAAAATCTTTGCAGAAAATACATTTTTAAATTAAAATTAAGTAAAATTATAATAGTTCATTTTAATATAATAATAAAAATTGTTTTTTAATATAACATTAACAATGTCATGTTTTTGGTTAATTATCAACATTTTATATTGATAATTAAAATACAAAAAATAAGTTTTCATTAATCAGTTGTAATTATCAACGAGATTTTCAGCGCAAAAATAATTTTAAAACATGATGATATGTTTAAAAGTTAAAATTTTTTATAGGACAGAAAAAAATTTCATATATGAAATTATTTAACGTTTTAAAACTTTTTTAAAAAAGTAAATAAAAAGATTTAAAAAATTCGAAAGATTCAAAAATGGGGTTATAGTATTTCTATTTACCTGAGTAGTAAAATTTCACAAGAAATATCCAAATTTTTTTAAATCTAAAAATAGCGTTAAAAATATTCATTTAATTTGAATTTAACTATATTTTCTGTATTTTTAATAAAGCAAATCCATTTTTTTGTCCTTTTTGTTGACATTTTACCAGAAATATTAAAACTGAAAGGTTAAAAAACAACTTCACAACTATCATACCCAGGGAAAGGGATCAAACGATTACATTATTTTTTTACGTTTCCTTTTTTTAAATCTTCTAAATTTAAAACGGAAAATCTTAATTAAAGAGGAAAATACAAATGGAATCCTTTTGTCATTCTTCCATTAAAATGAAGAATAAAAATATTCTACATTTCAATTGAATAATCTTGTTTTAAGAGGAAATATTTAGAGGATATTAGAAGAGGAATTTTCCTCTAAGTATAAGATTACTTTTTTTTTGGTTGTATTTGAAGAAAAAGAAGCTAAAAATTTATTTTATTATTTATAATTGTTTGTTATGAATACTAGAACAGAAACTATTTTTGATTTTTGCCTTCTGTAAAATTTTATTAATAATATCAGACCGTTCGTATTTACCCATAGGAAAATTGGAAAACCGGGGTAAATCCGAACAGTATTTTCAATAATTTTTTTTTTACATCAGAGCCACACAAAATTGTTTTTATTTCATTACACTATTATTTTAACATTATAAAAGTACATAGAAAAAAGTTTTTCTTTCTATACGTATCCTCGTTAGTAATTAATAATAAGCGCAGAAACTTAAGGGGACTTTCTGGTTTAGAATTGACAAAAAAGGAAGGTTTTAAAACTTTTATTGTAAGAACAGTATTAAAGAAATTGTAAAAACTATTTTTGGACATTGTAGCACATTGCGTAGAGAAAAGTTAAAAAATATGTTTGAGTGTATTTAGTTCAATTTCATATCTGTAGGTGGCGTCTTCCAAAAGATACCTTTTTTTGGTACGTTAGTTTCCGGGCAACCTGTAATACATAAATTCAAGTTCCAAACGGGAATCTCTTCATAAGGATTTATTCTGGGGCCTAAACCTCAAAAACGATTTTTTTAAAGGTTTTTTTATTTTTTATGTACATTTTTCTCAAAAACTCGCAAAAACGCCGTGTTTTTGGGTCAATTTACCTCCATATAAAAACACAGGGGGTAGAAATATGAGTTTTTAGAGGTTTAGGCACCAGTTTTTTAAATAAACAATCGAAAAATTTTTGGGATTTTAAAATCGGTTCTGTAGATTTCGAGAAAAGCTCTGTACCAGTTTGAAAAATGAGTTTTCGAGAAAAACGCGTTCAAAGTTTTCATAACATAGTTCATTGATGAGTCATGAATATTAAACAACTTTTTATTACAACAGAACTTCGTATCCGGCTGTTTTTAGGGTCGCTGATTACGAATTTGATGTTCCTAGAACGATAATGTTTTGTGCCTATATTCATAACTAGCAATCTCAAAAGGCCACAAGTAACCATTTTCAACTAAATTTAATTAATTTCTTAATCTTTGTCCGCCATATTAAATCCGCCATTTTGTATTTTCAAAAACTGATATCAAATTCGTAATCAGCGACCCCAAAAACCCCCGAGTAACAAGTTTTAAGCAAATCCGGTTGAATTTTTATTTTTTCGTCCGCCATATTGGATCCGCCATTTTGTATTTTCAAAAACTGACATCAAATTCGTAATCAGCGACCCCAAAAACCCCCGAGTAACAAGTTTTAAGCAAATCCGGTTGAATTTTTATTTTTTCGTCCGCCATATTGGATCCGCCATTTTGTATTTTCAAAAACTGACATCAAATTCATAATCAGCGACCCCAAAAACCCTCGAGTAACATGTTTCAAGCTAATATCAATAAAAGAGGAACACCAAATATGTAAATAAGATAACTGTAGATTGTTGTTGAAATACATACCGTCATAAATATTGTTATAACTTTTGTTTTTGTACATATTTTTTAAAAAACGTTTTGGGACAGTAATTCTATGATACTATGGAACATTTTTAAGCAAAAAAAAAAAAAAATCGATTTTTTTGAAATTCTAAACCAGAAAGTCCCCTTAATCTCTGTTCTCTCGAAGGAGTATAGTGTTTCAATTTTTTTGCCAAATGGTTTGTTAAAAAAAGTTTTTCAGGATCTTAATAAAATTTGGTATTCTACGGTTTTTTGGGGTCGCTAATTACCAATTTGAAGTCAGTTTTTCAAAATTCAAAATGGCGGACGAGAATTAAAAAATTCATTGGATTCGCTCGAAAATTGTTACTCGGGGGGTTTCAGGGTCGCTGATTACGAATTTTTGATCATTTTTAAAAATAAGTTTTAGGAAAGTCCGCCATTTTGAATTTAAAAAATTTCACTTTTATTTTTGTATTTACATATTCAATCACTCCAAAATACTTTCTGTAGCAAGTTTTGAAAAAATCCGTTATGATTTGATAAAGTTATTGAAGGTTTTAATTGTGTAATGCATTTTAATTTTTAACCTGTTTGATTTTTGTATTTATATATGATGCATTATTACATAATAGGTTTATTGTCGTATTTTTTTTTTTGAGTTTTTATATATAAGTTTAACAATTGCAATACTTTAAATTTATTTTCCCTAAGATTTTTCTGAAATACAGTGCAGCGTTCGTATTTACCCCGGTATTTTAGGAAAGTTGCAAAGTATCGAGGTATAAATACGAAAGCTAAGTTTCCTGCGATTGTAATTTATCAAAAAATTTTGCTATCCCATAAAATTGTTCTATGGAATTAAAGTAACAACTTCATGTACCAGAATACCGGAAGTATTTTTTTTTTTTAAAGAAAAAACTTATGTTATTGTTGAAACTTATACTAAAAGCGTTCGGATTTACCCCGGTTGACCCTATTGTGTTGTTTGTGTTTTTTTTTTTTTTTTCTAACAAAAATATCAAAATTTTGAATATTTTAAGTATATATGGAAAATTTTGGCTTAATCTTTTTTTTTTGGTCAAAAATTGTTTTATTTCTAATAATAATAATAATAATAATAATAATAATAATAATAATAATAATAATAATAATAAGAAAATAATTTTTATAAATGAAATAATATGTTTTAAAAATAATAAATTTTGGAAGGATTTTAATTATTGTGTCGTAGCAATTTTAGGAATAATTATATTTCCTACCTGCGCGCCCCAAGCTGTATTTGTTTACATTTTAATATTAATACAATAGAAAACCTCAAATTGTAGAGGTCATAAAAATTTTGAATTGAAAATTACAAAAATAATTTTCAATCAGTTGCAATTCGTGTTTCGACCTGTTAAAACATATAATCAATGAGTGTAAATTTAGTAATTTTGAAAAAGAGAAATTTTATTCTTTTTTTATTTTGATATTTTTTTTTATATATATGATTAGTTAATATTTCATTTCGGGAGTGCTCAATTTTTTTTATTTATTTTTTTTTAATTCGTGAACGTAAAATTTTTTTTCTGCAAAAAAATTTTTTTTAATTTTAATAAATTTTTTTTTTTTCGGGAGTGTTGAAAATTTTTTAAATCGCGATCGATTAAATTTTTTTTTTTTTTTTTTTCTCGTAAAAGGTATTTTTATTTCATTAAATAATTTTCATGGTTCTTTCGGGAGTGTATAACGAAATTTTTTAAATCGCGTGTGTTTCTTTGTGCAAATCATATATATAATTGTTTAAAACCAAATTAAATTTTGATGCATCGATTGAAGAATAATAAGGTTAGAATTTTCTTTTTTTTTTTGTATATTTAAATAATAATTGCATAAAATTATTATTTTTTTTGTTATACGATTTTTGAAAATTTGATTTTTTTTTTTTTTTTTTGAATGCAAATAACTGTGTAATATTGAATTTAAAAAAAAATGTTGAAAAATATTTTAGTCAATCGGTTTTTAATTATATATATTCTC